ATTTTCCCGTCCTTTGCTTGAGGCCTGACCCTCTATGGGGCCACTTGTCCATGCTGATAACAGGGCCTACCCTAGGCATGAGTTACTTAAGTGGCTGCCCATTGGGGCCCAATATCTAAAGTTAAATATTTTTTGCAAAAAGATGATTAATCCTTGCTTTTTAATCATGGTGATCTCATCTACTATCGATTTAAATCATTGTGCTTACAATTTCTTTGCTCTTAATTGGATGTCTCCTCTTTTTGTTATTCATCTCCACAGTGCACATGAGAGGAGATCGTTCTTATGCCTATGGCTTGTTAGGACTTGGAGTCCTTACCTTCCTTGTAGGTCTATGAAATATAATTCTTTTATACTTGGGTTGTTGTGGTTAAAGAAGTAAAAATCGCCATTATATGTTCAACATTACTTTCCAAAAAAATATGTTTAATGTGGCACTTTGCTATGGGATTCGTATCTAAAATAGCCAAGCTAAATTCTAGTTGGTTTATGATTAATCTAGATACCACTCAAACCCAACTATTATGTGCACAATTGGGTGGTTATTGGTACACATAATGAGTCAAAATATTTACTTTATACAATTTTTACTTTGGACTTGACTTCGTCGGTAATTCGAATTGATAATTTCTTATTTTTTCTATATCATTCGTAACACGTAAGATAAGTTTATAGGTAGTTCATAGTCTCTTTGGTTCGATAACAAAGAAACTCAATCGGTTCGATATTTGAGCTTTTGGTGGATTGCTACTTTGCTAGCTAGATGACTAATTTTGTCACTTTGTAGTTTTTAGCACACACTCTCAATTTCACACCCACACCCATACCCACCTCCGCGCACACACAGTCACTCTCTTTTTTGTCATGTTTGCTTATCTTTGAAGGTTATGGTGGCAAAAGGGTCTCACCTGATGATGCTTCGCTATTTTCTATTTATTTTCTAATTATTGTCTTTTAATTTCCATGGTAGCAAAAGAGGAACGTCAGGGAAGTCCAATACTTTATCATGTCAATTTTACATCATTTTTGTCTAATGCGAACCTTTCCTATTTATTATTCGTGTTGGCAATTCATATATTTTTTAATTCATGTCAAAAAATAGTGAACATTAACTTGTGAACTTCGTATTTGATTTGAGCTATTTTATCATATCGTATAAAAAATTCCCACCCTAAATGTAAGCAGGTGATTAAAATATTTATTTTATTGCATGATAGATGGAAGCAATATGGTGTTCTCATTTTTACTTTTGTAGGATAAATTTGAGGGTGCACAATAATTCCATTTGGAGTATTACAACTTATGAACAGGTTCTTAGTTCTTTGTTGTACGTCTTTTAGTTATCGTGACACTTTTAAGGGCTGACAACACAACAAATTTTAAGACATAGATTGTTTTCCACTGATCAGTTTATGCTTCTTTTGAGGCTAAAGGTGTTGTTAAATTAATTGGACAAATCTCATTCATTGATTGAATAGGAAAGTAATGTTTTAGTTGGCACAATTTCATCATTCTCTGAGTTGTAGAGAAATGTTATTTGGTAGCATTAGAGAACAAAAAAGTCTTAGGCAAAAATTGAATATTTTTGCCGAACATGACTTCATTCATATAATGAATAATTATACGAGTTTTATTAAATGTAGGTTAGACCCATTCAAAATAATATATATCCGTTAATTATAATTTCTTACTTCAAGAGAACACCCTTTGATTCTAACGAGAAATTATCACATATTACCATTTACACCATAAGGGCATTTCATTTGTGATGGTGGCTAGACCTAGGTTAATTGCCTAGGCTGTTCTACGTACCCGTTATCGGGATCAAGCCGATTTGTAATTAGGGGGATTAAATTATTATAATAATTATTATTTTTGAGTAATATCAACGGGTAGATGACCCATTGATCTTGAATGGACAAAATGTTCATTATATTTGAAATGAATAAATGACCATTTGAATTGATATGGGTTTAAGGACCATTTGATTGTGGAGAAATTGTGACTGCGCTTAGTTTAACTAAACTGCCTACATATCCAAAAGGGAATCAAGTCAGTCATAGTTCATGAAGTAGAAATTACAAATTAGTTGAAAGTATGACTGCGTCCAGTGTAGATGCTGGACTATCTTCGTATCCAATAATGGAATCAAGTCAGACGTAATTCAAAAATTTTGGAATTTATTTAGGAATGCGACTATGCCCAGTGTAGATGTTAGATTTCCTACATATCCAGAAATGCAATCAAGTCGAACGTAGTTCAGAAAATAATTTTGAATTTGAGTAGGATTTTAATCGGTGAATGACTCATTTAATTTGGTTTGAAGTGGGTGAATGAGCCATTTGATTTGAATAAAGTTATATTTGACAAATTTGATTTGTATGAATTTTAGGATTCATAGGATGTACCTTAAGATGAACTTAAATTCCATGCAAAATTTTAGATTTTATATAAGCTAGAAACTCAAGAATTTAATAAGAGTCTAATACTCTTTTGATAAAAAATGACAGTGGAGTTTAAAACTTTGAAACCTAGTAAAGAATTTGAAATTCTTATTTTAATTTTTTTGTACTATTTAATATGTAGGAGTTTGAAACTCCAAAAAAATAATGAAGGATTTAAATGGCTAAATTATTGTGACATTTGTCAAAATGGATCAAAGACCTCTTGTTTTGATTTTCATGTGCTTTTGAAAGAACACAAAATTTTAAGTCGTTGCGTGCTATCGGAGGAGTTAAAAACTCTGATTTGGTGGGAGTTAAACACTCCTTTTTATTAATTTGTGCCTTGGAAGGGATCATAAAGAAAAATCTCAAGTCCTGTACTCCGTCTGGCAGTCGCTTGAAATTGTGATTGTTTTAAATCACAACCAAAGTTTTTTTTTTAACTCACTTCTTTCTTTGAGGAGCATGTGAAGGAGCTAAAGACTCCAAATTTNTAGCGGGCAAACAAAGGCTTTGTAGCATGATGACAACGGGCAGCCTTCGGTGAAATGTTTTGGAATTTGACTCTACCATTCTCGTTGAATTTTTTTTACTGCTAATGTATCAGATGAGCCGGAATATACGCAATGGTAAGTTTTGATTGCACCGATGCCACAGCTTTAAGAGTCGGAGACTCTTCCATGGCAACTCCAAAAGAGTCAGAGACTCTTATAGACGACCGAAGAGCATCGAAGTGAGTGGGAGAGAAGTAATTTTGCAGCCGTGTCAAACCCAAGGAGTTGGAAACTCCTAAACTTGTGACTTTGAAGGGATTCTAGATTGCCGTGGTTAATCGGGATTGATGTGGTTGTTTGGGATTCCTTTGGTTTTGAACCAATCTTGCTGCAATCAAAACAATCCAAGAGATTAGATCAACAAGAAAGAGAGTGAACAGAATTTTTTTACTTGTTGCAAAGCTTCAGATTTTTTTTCGCCTTTCTTCCCTCTGCTTTGTTTTCTTTTCTCGTTTGATAACCGTCCCAAACTCTCCCTTCAGATCTCCCTCCTTTGCTTTGCTTTTTCACCCTTTAAATAGAGGGCAAACATTAACTAATATAAGACTTTAGTGGGCTAGGTGTCAAGCTGCATGAGTGATTGGTGGTTCTCCCATGCCAACTGTTTTTAAATTCTACTAGTAGCAGATCTTTATGTAGTGGGGCTTCCACTTATACCACAATTTGATAGGTAGATTTATCTTGAAGTAAATAAATCATTTGCTAACTTTAAACACCAACTACTATTGGAGTATGATCGAGATGTTTGAGACCCCACGCAAGTCTTGGTAGAATTTTTTTAACCATGGCTATGAGAACACATCCAAAATGTAACAGACGAGCTTGGAGACTCTTTTAATGAGTCAGGTCATGAATAAATAGCTTATGGAAAAAATTTCGCACCTAGCGTGCACCCATCACCAACAAATTCGTACTAACCTTTAGTTGAACATTTTTTATGTTCAACAATGTCTATTGCTGCTTGAAGAGAGATGCTAAGCTTCGAGGAAGGGCCTTGACAATGAATACTAATATGTTATAAGCAAAATTCATCGCATCGCAATAATAAGGCTTAAACAAAAATCCAATATAGCCGAGTGGCGACTTAAGACAAAATAAAGAAAACCTATATAGTTTCACAAATGATATACCAAATAATCATCAATGCTTTAATTTGGAAAGAACTAAGATTGAGAATCCATAGAAATTAGAACCAAAAAAATATGGTTAATAGATTACCTCTCCGGAACTTTAACATAATCTTTTAGAATTTCTTCCAAGGTTGATTTGCGCAACGATTGAACTAGTATGCCGAATTGTTGACGAATATGCCAAAGGAGATAACCAAGATACCAAAGAAAAAGTAAGAAGAGGGGGCAGGATTAATTGGTGAAGAAAGGGCAGAGACTAACGTCCGTTGAGAAGGTGAGTAAAGGCGTCAACAGTATGTTTTGATGGTTTGAAAATTATATTAATTCACCTTATACTTTATAAAAATTTTAGTGGAGGCAAAATTCCTAACTTTTAGAAACTTTTAAAATTTTATCTAGGTCTTAATTTTTTTTAAAATTCCAATAGGGGCCGCTGTCTCCACTGCCCCATACCAAATCTGCCCATGTGAACGACTATCATGAACCACTCACTCGAGCAGAATAATACAGTATGCAATCCTTTTCTTTTGCTCATTTTTTTTAACCCTTTTTGGGGCATGTTCATTTATTTTAATGTAAGCAGGTTTGAGATTTAATTTAGTAATATTCGAGTTTATTATAAAAAAAAATTAGGTTTATGATGATCCACATGCAATGTACATGTGCAACAATTAACAATATATACAAGCGGTAATCATAACAAGAATTTTGACTCTTTTGTATACCCTTTATTCAATCTGATTTATTTGTAAGCTATTTATGATTAATTTAAGTAAAACCTGCTATATATAAATGGATCTTTCACTAAACATGGTGAGTGATGTATTATCGAACGAAATTGAATACANCTATTTATGATTAATTTAAGTAAAATGGATAAAGGGTATACAAAAGAGTCAAAATTCACAATGGATATAATGGGAAAGTTGTACAATTTACAAGAATTTCCAAATTGGGATTGGAGATGCAAGATAAACCCAATTTTGTTCCTTCTTCTTGTTCCTGTTATTGCATTAATCCGGAAATGTTTGTCCTATCTCTACAAACAAACACCACGTCTATTTCGTCTTTGCCCTCCTCCAATAACGCTGTTGCTTTGTATAAATTATTCGCCGCTTTCCTGTCCAGCGCGACGGGAAGTTTTAGTACAACTCTTTAGTTCTTCTCACCAGGTTCGATTATCTCTCTACATGTACTCAATTGATTCGATTTTCCTGTAATTTGTCATGATTCTTTGTTTGATTCGATCTGTTTTGTGGAATTTGATTCGATATGTGCATGGTTCACCGTGCGATGAAATTCCTATACCTCTAATTCTGTGTATTTGCTGTTATTTATCAGAATTTCTGCACGACTAGATCGATATGTTCATCCTAAACTGTGTGATGAAATCTCTAACTCTATTGATTGGGATTAGTTCTGGGGCATCTGAAAATAAATGGGTGGTAGAAACCCCTAATTTGTGTTGCATTTCTATTTTCTCCGTTGCTTTTTTTTTTCCCGTTTAGTTATTACAAAACAGCAGGGAAATATTTTGTACTGATCGATCCTCCACATAAAGATACCAGTTTGACTTGGTAGAAATTTGTTTTTTAGTGATCAATTGATCACTAAAAAGTTGCCTCTAGAGAAGAGGGAATATAAGCTAGCTAGCAGGAAGGAAGGCTGCCTATTGGCAGGGGTGGCTTGATATATTTTGAGGCCTAAAGTGATATATTCAATTAAAAAAATTTTAAAATATTTTTTAATAATAGTGTAAAGTTTTTAATATTTAATTTTTTTTTTCTGTATGCATATTCATTGTTTAGTATTTGTATATGTATTGAAATTTTTCTAACATATCTTTTTTTATTGATAGTATAACTAATTGACATAATTTTTAAGTTAAATAAAAAATTCCAAACTTTCAAATTCAAAGATTATTTGACAGATTATGTTGTCTCATCATTGACACTCGTATAACATTATTTTTCTATGAATTAGACATTACTCACAGAATATATATTTTCTCCGTTGCAATTACAACACACATTAGATGTCAGTTTCTGGATCATGTTCTGTGGTAAATTGGAACATCAGATGAGTCTACTACTCACATATTCACCAGAACAATAGTAGAATGGAAGATTAGAAGAGATACGTAACAATCACATGCATTTTAACTCTATTGAGTCTGCTGTGCAATCTGCCCTTCCACTTTATTTAGGATTCTTTTGTAACTCATAGGAAACCAATATTTTTTGTTTTTTTTTTCTTTCTTTTATCTTATTTCTTATTTTCTGAGTGTCGCAAATGATGTATTTCTTATTTTCTGAGTGTCCCCTGTATGGTATGTTTTATATTTCACCACACTAGTGCGTAACACAAGAATTTTTACTGCAGTGAAACATGGTTATAATCGAAATAATAACATGTTTGTTCCACCAAAATACTCTACTAAAAGCTGTAGCACATATTCAAAATTTGTTTTTTTCTTTTTAATCGTACATGGCAGAGCATTATTCGTCTAACCCAAAACAATCTTGACCAGTCATCACATCAATTGGTTGGACTTTAACCACCTTTAAGATAATGTTTTAGAGCAACAAAATTTCAAGGTTAGAGAAACTCTGAATCAATACCTTTTGGGACACTGCAATAATGCTATTTCACAAGTACCACCTTTTTATACATTGGCATTGCAGTTAGAATAGGGCAATGTTAGGATTTCATAGANATTGTTTAGTATTTGTATATGTATTGAAATTTTTCTAACATATCTTTTTTTATTGATAGTATAACTAATTGACATAATTTTTAAGTTAAATAAAAAATTCCAAACTTTCAAATTCAAAGATTATTTGACAGATTATGTTGTCTCATCATTGACACTCGTATAACATTATTTTTCTATGAATTAGACATTACTCACAGAATATATATTTTCTCCGTTGCAATTACAACACACATTAGATGTCAGTTTCTGGATCATGTTCTGTGGTAAATTGGAACATCAGATGAGTCTACTACTCACATATTCACCAGAACAATAGTAGAATGGAAGATTAGAAGAGATACGTAACAATCACATGCATTTTAACTCTATTGAGTCTGCTGTGCAATCTGCCCTTCCACTTTATTTAGGATTCTTTTGTAACTCATAGGAAACCAATATTTTTTGTTTTTTTTTTCTTTCTTTTATCTTATTTCTTATTTTCTGAGTGTCGCAAATGATGTATTTCTTATTTTCTGAGTGTCCCCTGTATGGTATGTTTTATATTTCACCACACTAGTGCGTAACACAAGAATTTTTACTGCAGTGAAACATGGTTATAATCGAAATAATAACATGTTTGTTCCACCAAAATACTCTACTAAAAGCTGTAGCACATATTCAAAATTTGTTTTTTTCTTTTTAATCGTACATGGCAGAGCATTATTCGTCTAACCCAAAACAATCTTGACCAGTCATTACATCAATTGGTTGGACTTTAACCACCTTCAAGATAATGTTTTAGAGCAACAAAATTTCAAGGTTAGAGAAACTCTGAATCAATACCTTTTGGGACACTGCAATAATGCTATTTCACAAGTACCACCTTTTTATACATTGGCATTGCAGTTAGAATAGGGCAATGTTAGGATTTCATAGACGATCTACTATTCGACCAAAATTGATCACCATTTTTTGGTCAATTCAAAAGTGGCCATTCTTTTATGCCGCTAACTTTTTTTCTCCACAATTTGTGTAGGAGTAATTTGATTGAGGAATAGAGATGCTTCAATTCCTCTTTTTTTTCAGTTTATGATGTTTAATTTTTCTTTGTTTCTCTAAAACTTTTTTCTCCAAGGAGAACTAGCAGGCATTTTTGTTTTGTATGATGTGTTTCTTTGTTCTCTTTTCTTGATCCCGCTAGTTCATTACTATGCTTGCTGGTCTCCTTTAATGTTGGCTGGGTTACCAAACTGTATACATGCATAATTCTATGGTCAATCCAGTTTCCTATATTCAGATGCTTTATTCATATTTTAATAACTCCTTCAGTCAAATATATTTAGATCTATATGTGCAATGCTATTGATCACTTAGAGTCATCATGAAATCGATTGTCTTTTGTTCTTTGTTAACATTGTTTAACAAAAGCTAGGTGGTGGAAACAGGGCTCTGATGCTCTGATAAATCTGGTAGATCTTCACTGCTAAGGCGAATTTATGAGCTGAATGGGCAAGAACCATTTTATTTAAGAGTAGTTTAGAATATATGACCAATAAGCTATCGGGCTTGAGACTTCTACTTGACAAATGTGGAAACCATGAGAGGCTCATCAAGCAAATCCACACACAAGCCATAACACAAGGTTTCTTGAATCACAACCAACTCTTTGCATGCAAACTACTCAACACCTACGTAAAACTGGGCAAATCCATTGCAGCCCAGGGGATCTTCAACCAAATACAAAGTCCCGACATAGTCTCGTGGACCTGTCTCATCTCTCTCTACCTTAACACTGAACGTCCAGCTAACGCTTTCTCTGTTTTTTCTGACTTGATAAATACTGGTTTCAGGCCAGATGGGTTTGCAGTTGTGGGTGCTCTCTCGGCTTGTGGCCGTAAGAATGATCTACTCAATGGGAGAGTAGTTCATGGAATGATCTATAGATATGAACTGGGCTGCTCTGAACCCATTGTGGGTAATGCTCTGATTGATATGTATAGCCGAAATGGAAAAATGCAAATGGCTCAACTAGTGTTTGGTACAATGGAATTCAGAGATGTGGCTACATGGACTAGTTTGCTTAATGGGTTCATACTGTGTGATGACATAAGATCTGCAGGCCAACTGTTTGAGGAAATGCCTCAGAGAAACACAATTTCGTGGACTGCTATGATTGTGGGCTATGTACGTGGAAAAACCCCAATCTGGGCATTGGAACTATTTCGGAAAATGAGAGTTAAAGGTGAAGATCATCCTACGTCAATCACCATTGTTTCTGTCCTTGCAGGTTGTGCTGATTTAGGAGCTCTTGATTTTGGTCAATCAATTCATGGCTATGTTTACAAATTTGCTGGTCTTGTTTGTGATATTGCCGTCAATAATGGTCTGATTGATATGTATTCAAAAAGTGGCAGCCTTGACTTGGCTACAAAGATTTTCAGGGGAATGTTGTATAAGGATTTATTAACATGGACCACCATGATATCCGGATTAGCCCTTCATGGTGAAGGGAGATATGCACTTGAGGTTTTCGATTGCATGTTGGCATCTGGGGTGACCCCAAATGAGATTACATTTCTTTCACTGTTATCTGCTTGTAGCCATGCAGGATTGGTCAGTGAAGGGCAGAGGTTGTTCAACAGATTGCTTGATTGTCGTGATTTTAAACCAATGATTGAGCACTATGGGTGTATGGTGGACCTTCTTGGCCGAGCAGGGTATTTGGAGGAAGCATTAGAGTTAATTCAGTGGATGCCCATCAACCCAGATGCTGTGATCTGGAGATCCCTTTTGAGTGCTTGCTTAGGAAGAGGGAATTTGGAAATAGCTGAAACAGCAGGAAAGAAGGTTCTCGAATTAGAACCGGATGATGATGGGGTATATATACTTATACAGAATATTTATTGCTCGGCCAATAAGTGGGAACATGTATTAAAGACAAGAAAGACGATGAGAGATCAAAAGATTAAAAAGAAGCCAGGGTGTAGTTGGATTGAGGTGAATGGCATTGTGCATGAATTCCTTGCCGAAGACACAATGCCTCTTGTATTCACAGATATGTATATTCTTTTAGTAGCTATTACTGAGAATTCGAAAATTGATATTGATCGCTCTATTTTTGAATAGACATAGTTCAGTGGCGAAGGAAGAGTATTTTGGGAGATTATTATGGTTCAACAAAGGATATACTAAGGAAAATAATTAAAGTCAGCCGTGGATTTACCAAGGAAAGCCACAAAAACAGGATGAGGTACAATTATCATAATATTTTGTTCTATAGTATAATGATCCATCTAAAAGTCTAGCTGATGCAATCCATAAGTTGCTTAAGAAGAGACAAATTCAAAGACATGAAGAATTGTGAAATTTGGCTTGCCATGAAGACAAAGACTTATACGAAACCTTGCATAGTTTTATTTGAGTCCTCTTTTTAATTACCTGAAGTTTGTTTGCTAGTATTTAGTAATTTATGTGTCTTTTTTATATTTTTAGGGTCAAGCCGTCGAGGGTATTTTTGTAATTTCTTAGAATTTTTAGAATGAGTTATATTTTTTAGGTCAAATTTTAGTGTTGAATATTCTAGAATTTAAATTTCTAGTTTTAATTAATTTTAGTTTTCTAATTTTTAAGGACCTGGAGGTTTTGGAGTCCTAATTCTAAAGACTTTGGAATCCTAATCTTTTGGGATTATGAGTACTTAAAACTCTATATATAGTTAGTGTTATTTTTAATAAAAGGGGGAGAAAAAGATATTTCAGAAATTTTAGCAATTACATGCTTCTTGAGTTGTGTGATACCAATATAACCCTAGGTGTGATGCATAAAAAACCCTAGGAGTAAATTACTATTCATGTTACTGTCTATAGTCCCTAAACAACCTCTTTTTTTATTTTACAAAGTTTTGGTATCAGAGCCGAAAAATCCTATGAGATATTTTGATGGAAGGAATGACATTACAATATTCTCTGGTTGACCTACTTCTATTGAGGAATACTTTATCAAGTATAATTTTTCAGATGAGCGGAGAATAAGGTTTGCCAAGATAAAACTTGTTGGCATACCAAAAATTTGGTGATTTAGGATTGAAGAAGATCTAAGAAGATTGAGTTTGTCGTTAATTAGCACATGACAAGAGATGAAAGCTAAGCTTTGAGAAAAATATATGCCTTCAAATTATTATGAGAAGTTGCGTAGACAACTTACCAATCTACAACAAGGTAACCTATCTGTTACAGAGTATATTAAAAGATTTGAAAATCTAATGTTGAAAAATCAAATCTCAGAAGATTTCTGTCAAACAATTGCTTAATTCAAGGCTGGTTTAAGGAAAAATATAAGAGCAAAATTACTTGGGCAGCCATTATACAACATAGAACTTGCATTCCAAATGGCACTTGGTACAGAGATGTACCTGAATTTCCTTCACCAAGCAAGTACATCAAGGGTTTCTTCTTCCCAAAGGACTAAAACTCAAAGTTATTTGCATTCTAATTTGCAATTAGTGAAGGCTCATCAAAAGCAGTCCAAAGCAACAAGGGATCTAATAATTCAAGATGGAGGAAATCAAGTAGAAGAACCAACACAATCCCTAGCAACTACGCTACTTACTTGTCGAGAGATTAAGGTAAAAAGTGAATATCCAAATAATTTTTTTGTCGTGGAGTCTATCAAGATGGAAAAACCAACAATTAAAATTGAATTAGATTTGCCTTTAGAGAATAGTAAGTTACTATCTAAGAGCTTTGAAAAAGTGTCAAAGGAGTTGTTGAATAAAATTCCTTCTATTGATGACTTTCAACCAATAACATTAGTAACTCAAGTGTTTGATTTTTTTGCATACACCGAGAATCTAAGTGTCCATAAAAATTCATCTAATGGTGCTCAAGAGAATATCAAGTCTACAATAAAAGAAGATATCACTATGAACTAAGAGATAAAATCAGAAAAGATTACAAAAAGTTTGATTTAGCAAGAGAAAGGGAAGGTTACAATTGAATGGCAAGCTACTAGGCTTCATGTTCAATGTCAATTCGAGGATGTTCTTTCTATTCATTTTGCTCCACCAATTGATTTTGTGATTCTAGAGAAGTTCAACGATCGAATCGAGACGATTGATCTCCAATTTTTTTCTTTATTTCCTCAATTCAAGAAGAAAAGAAGGCACTATCTTCAGATTCCTCGAAGAGTGATAATTCTAAGCTTATGGACTTCCATACTTCGACACTTCAAAACTCGAGGTCGAGTTTTCTCCAACCAGGGGAGAATGATGCAATCCATAAGATGCTTAAGAAGAAACAAATTCAAAGACATGAAGAATTGTGAAATTTGGCTTGCCATGAAGACAAAGACTTGTATGAAACCTTGCATTATTTGAGTTATATTTTTAATGACCTTAAATTTGTTTGCTAGTATTTAGTAATTTATGTGTCTTTTTTATATCTTTAGGGTCAAGGGTATTTTTGTAATTTCTAAAATTTCTGAAATGGGTCATAATTTTTGGGTCAAATTCTAGTGTTAACTATTCTAGAATTTAAAGTTCTAGTTTTAGTTAATTTTAGTTTTCTAATTTTTTAGGACTTCGAGGTTTTGGAGTCTTAAAACTGTAGAATCATAATCTTTTTGGATTAGGAGTACTTAGAACTCTATATATACTTGGTGTTACTTTTAATAAAAGGGGGAGAGAAAAACATTTCAGAAATTTCAGCAATTACATGCTTCTTGAGTTGTGTGATGCAATTCTAACTCTAGGTGTGATGCCTAAGGAACTCTAGGAGTGATGCCTAAGGAACTCTAGGAGTGATTGCTAGTCAAAATTACTATTCACATTATAGTTCACAGCCCATTACTGTTCACAGCCCCTATTTTTATTTTACAAAGTTGTCCTACACCACTAGCATATGGTCCTTTTTTAGTGTCACCAAGTCATTCTCCATTTAGTATTGAAAGACCAGCGGTAACTTAAGATTCATAAGTGCAATTGAGAGATCATTGTGTCACTAGGAACATTCAAGTTGAGCATTGTGGTTAGTTGCATCGGTAATCACATTTTATTCTCCTTTTTAAAGTTTAGCTCGAAATTTTTGCTTACTCTCATGAAATACAAGTTTTGTTTGTGTTTGTCCTCTTTAGGAAACTTGTAGAAACCAAAATTGATAGTGTGCCGCCAATTCTATGATGCAAGAGTGTTCCCAAAACTGTGATTCACAGCTTGTTTGATAGATACCAGGTGGTACTGTATAGTGGTTCCGGGATAAAGTTTTAAAACTGTATAACTAAAAGGTGAATATTACCTGAACCTATACTTTCAAAATGAATAGTTTTATATTTTCTGTTACAGAAACTGGTCAAGAGTGTTAGATGGACATTGAATGAATTTATGTTTGCATCAGCAAGCAGTGGCAGAAGACACCTACAACTCATTTGATGTTTAATAAGTATTAAACAACATTATGCGACCAAATGATATAATCGAGATTATTTTTTGATTGACATGGTGTTCTTCGACTCATCATTACTCTAGACGGTGTAAATGTTATTGACTACGAACCAATATTGGGTTATTTACACAGAGGAATGGAAAAAATTGTNTTTTTGATCGACATGGTGTTCTTCGACTCATCATTAGATGGTGAAGATGTTATTGACTACGAACCAATATTGGGTTATTTACACATAGAAATGGAAAAAATTGTAGAAAACCGAACAATTATACAATATTTGCCTTATGTAACACGTTGGGATTATTTAGCTTCCATGTTTAAAGAAAAAAGCAGGTAAAAGGACTTGCTGTAGGGTTTGTTGCTCTTTAGTAATCTTTATATCAATGTGGTTATTGAATCCAATGATGGAGGTGATCTGTTTATTATTTTAGGTAAGTGCATTCATACAGATCCACCACAATCTTTTGTACACATCAAAGAATCATTGCTTTGAGCTTCATAGTTCATTTGCCTTCGTGGAAACATTAGGCTGATGGAACAAGTTATTTTGAATTTCGGACATCTAAGTGAAGGACCTCGGATGTTGTACAAATAAAAGAAATTTGCAAGTTTTGCTTGTAAATCAAGGGAAAGCACTAGTGGTTGATGATGTAAAATATTGACAGGAGTTGCATGCACGATTTTTGGAATCTCGGGAGTAGACACTTTTCCATACTAGTTGATTTTAAGTATGAAACATAACAATATTGACCTACTGGTGACAAGCAGAATACTTCTGAACCTATCTTTGTAGCAGACAAGCCTGCATGCTCTAGAAAATATTTTTTTGCTGATGCTAGATAGTGCAAATACTTGCAAGTTTCGTTATACTTAGCATATTTTGTAGTTGTGATGGTCTCTATGTGATAAAAATATGTGTAATTGAGTTTATCCCAAAATTCGCTTAATAGTTTCTCCGCTAATGTAAAAATTTATCTTTTTCATCTAGAACTCGCACTTGTTCTTCTTAGCATCTTTTCGTAGCATATTGGCTTTGATATAGATTCCTCAGATTACATTCTTCCAATCATACATCATACCAACAATTTTCAACTCTAACCTATTTAGCTCTCTCAATGATGTATTTAGGGACATAGAAAAACTCTATATTCCACAACACACCTCCAATAATATTAACAAATTTCACTCCTTGATAAAGTTCACACAAAACATTGGGTATCATCCTCATCCTAATAATTGTCTACTATATTTGACTGAGAGTTTTTGAACATCTATAGTCTTTAGTCCAACAATATTGAAAGTGAAGGATAATTGTCAATAATTAATCAAAGTTCCTAGGTTTCCTTATCATATGTCTCTAAATTCGTATGTATACCCTTAACCTCAATTTTCAATTAAAATTTGTATGTGCGAGTCAACTATCAACCTCAAGCTCAACCAAGAGATTTCCAGTTTACTACTTATTGCCTTTCTAACAATTCAAAGAACCCAAATATACCAAAGTTGTGTTACTATCTTACTTTTAATTCTTGCCCAAGCATCACTAGCCACTTGCCATAATACTTCTAAACCAATACTAATACTCTCAAACAATGTTGTGAAAGTCATGCTTAGACAAGAAAGCAAAGCAAGCAAAACTTTTTCGCCTTGAACATCCCAGGCGAAGCAAAGCTGAGGGAAGCGAGGTTAAAGGGTAAAAAGCAAGCGACTAGTAAGAAAAGCGAGTGACTTTTTTAAGTAATTTTATTTTTATTATAGATCTTGGATTGGGGCAATTGGAATAAAATTGTGATATGCCTGTATACCCGATTGTCCCTTATCCCAATATATTTAACACCTAAACCCTAAATGGCCTAAATAACGATTGGAAACTACTGCTTCTCTCCTTCTTAAAGAAGTCCTGACAGAACAAAGACAACTTTCCTTCTCTCCTTCTTCTTCTTCTTCTTCGACATAAAGCCTACATTTGCTACTTCTGCTATTGCTTCTGTCTTCTTATTTGACAGAATACAGGTAAGATATTATTTTCTCCTCTTACTCCTTCTCTTTCTCCCTAACTTCTTCTTCTCCTACTTGTTCTTTTAGTTTTTCTTCTTCTCCAACAGAAAACACAGCCCAGACCCGTTCTGCTACTTTTTCTTCTTCGGCAGAATACAGGTATGTTTTTCTTTTCTCTCCTCCTATTCTCTTGTCTTCTTCTAATTCTGCATCTTCTGGTTCTGCTTCTTTTGTGTTTCTGTTTTTTATTTTTCTGGGATTCACTGATTTCTATGGTTCTGATTCTATATTTTGATTTCTTCTTCTCTATTTTTACTCTTCTGCTTCTGCTTCTGTTTTTTTTTTTTGGCTTCTGGTTTTAGTTCTGCATCTGCTTCTCATTATTCTTCTCTAGTTCTGCTTCTACTTATGTTTTATTTTGGTTGAGATTATATGTTTTTATTTTTATTTTTTTGGGATTCTCTGTTTTGACTTCTTCTTTGTTTCTGTTTCTATTTTTGTTTTTTGCTTATGTTTCTGTTTCTAATTCTACTTCTTCTGTTTCTAATTTCTGAAATTTTAGGACTCTGATTGTGGGATTGTGATTTTACTTTAGTTTCTGTTTCGGTTTCTGTTTGTAATTTTGATTATTATTATTATTTTTCTGTTTCTAATTTTGATTATTTTGTTTCTGTTTCTGATTTCATTACTTATTAGTTGTTTTAAGATGTTTGATTAATATGTTCTAGATCTACCTATTTGATTGTAGTGTGATAGTGTCAATTATAAACAAAATAAATGGCAACATCGACCGAAGGGAACAAAAAATTTGGCATGGAAATATGCGCACTTAGTAAATCCTCAAAACCCAAACAAGTTTAAGTGCATTTTTTGTGGAAAAGAGTCAAATGGGGGTGTCCATCGTCGGGAACTCTACGAGTGTTTTTACTTGCCCATGATGTCCTACTCATCTTAGGGAGGAGATTAGAGAATACAGGGCTAAAAAAATAGATGAGAAGAATCAAATTAACATGGTTCTCGACTTTGATGAGATGCCTAATGACTTCGAAGAGGATGAAGATGATATTGTAGAGGTTGTTGCGTATGGTAAAAGATCCATGGCTAGTTCTAGTCAAGGTTCTATACAAGCCACATCCATACCAAAAAAGCCAAGGCAAAAAGGGCCTATAGATGTATTCTTCACCCCTAATCTGAATGTTCTGATGCAAAAAGGCCAAGGGGAGACGAGCGAAAATTGATGCAAACGATCCTTTCAAAAAGGAAATAAGAGAGAGCCAACACACCATTTGCACAATGGATGTATGACATTGGAATTCCCTTTAATATTGTGAACTACGAAAGTTTTGCAACAATGTTTGAAGCTATCAGACAATAGGTCCTGGTTTGAAACCACCTTTCTTACTATGAGATTCGGGTCCCATTGCTCAACAAAGAAGTAGAGCATATCAAGTCATACATGAAAGATCACCTTCTCGCTATTTTGAGATCGTCTGATAATGGTTTGGGAAAAAGAGTATGTTGATTGGATTTGTGAGTCTTATATCTTGGTTATCTTGGTTTGGTTGGAGATAGAAAACACTGAACATAATAGGAACAAAGTCAAGGTTGATCACTAGCAAGTTGCCTCTAGAGAAGGGGGAATAGAAGCTAGCCAGTAGGAAGGAAGGCTGCCTGTTGGATGAGAAAGTTGCAATTCTGTTGCAATTACAACACACATTAGATGTCAGTTTCTGGATCATGTTCTGTGGTAAATTGGAACATCAGATGATGATCATCAGATGAGTCTACTGCTCACATATTCACCAGAACAATAGTATGATGGAAGATTGGAAGAGATACGTAACAATCACCTACATTTTGACTCAATTGAGTCTGCTGCGCAATCTGCCCTTCCACTTTATTTAGGACTTTTTTTGTAACTCATTGGAAATCAGTATTTTTTGTTTTGTTTTTCTTTCTTTTATCTTATTTCTTATTTTCTGAGTGTCGCAAATGATGTTTTTCTTCCCCTGTATGGTACGTGTTATATTTCACCACACTAGTGCATAACACAAGAATTTTTACTGCAGTGAAACATGTTTATAATCGAACTAATAACATGTTTGTTCCACCAAAATACTCTGCTAAAAGCTGTAGCACAATAGTATATCTAGAGTTTTAATTCAAGTAAATAACTATGTGACAGAACAACTCAACATCTTAGATAACTCCTATGTAGTAACAAGTAATTGAACCAAACTCTATCAAATCCATGGTTACCTAAAAGTATATCTAAACAAATTCAAAATGGATTTTTTTTTTCTTTTTAATCTTACATGGCAGAGTTTATTATTCGTCTAACCCCAAACAATCTTGACCAGTCATCACATTAATTAGTCGGAGTTTAACCACCTTTGAGATACTGTTTTTGAGCTACAAAATTTCAAGGTTAGAGAAACACTGAATCATTACTTTTTGGGACACTGCAATAATGCTATCTCACAAGTACCACCTTTTTATACACTGGCATTGCAGGTAGAAGAGGGCAATGTCAGGATTTCATAGACGATCTACTATTCGACCAAAATTGATCACCATTTTTTGGTCAATTCAAAAGTGCCCGATCTTAAATGCCGCTAACTTTTTTTCTCCACAATTTGTGTTGGAGTAATTTGATTGAGGAATAGAGGTGCTTCAATTCCACTTTATTTTCATGCTATGATGTTTAATTTTTCTTCGTTTCTCTCAAACTTTTTTCTCCAAGGAGAACTAGCGGGCATTTTTGTTTTGTATGATGTGTTTCTTTGTTCTCTTTTCTTGATCCCTTTAGTTCATTACTTGCTTGCTGGTCTCCTTTAATGTTGGCAGGGTTACCAAACTGTATATATGCATGACTCTATGTCCATCCAGTTGCCTATATTCATAATTTAATAACTCCTTCAGTCAAATATATTTAGATCTATATGTGCAATGCTATTGATCACTCAGAGTCATCTTGAAATCGATTGTCTTTTGTTATTTGTTAACATTGTTTAACAAAACCTAGGTGGTGGTAACAGGGTTCTTATACTAACACATGCCCAAGAAAAGAGAAAATGAAAGAAAAAACGAAAACCTTATTCAAACACACTTCTCTGCTTCATGTTTTTTGCTTTATTAGTGCAAGATCGCGCAGCTATTTTATCTCCTTTATGTTCACCATTTTGAATTTTCCAATTGCACAATAGATTATACCTAACTTAGGCATTCATTGATTTTGAAAAAAAATATACTCTTATCATTTTTGCTTTACTTTATCTGTCCTGTAGGTGTTTTATTTAAGAAGGAAACGATTCATTTTTACAAAAAAAAATAGCGGAACTTTGAGCCGTTGTTTGCTAGGTAGTACAAAATGCCTTCACAAAAGATTGAAACTGGTCACCAAGACACAGTTCATGATGTGGCAATGGATTATTATGGCAAGCGTCTTGCCACAGCATCTTCAGACAACACCATTAAGATTATTGGGGTAAGCAATTCGGCTTCTCAGCATCTTGCAACTTTGAGTGGTCACCTGGGACCCGTGTGGCAAGTAGCATGGGCACACCCGAAGTTTGGGTCCCTCCTTGCTTCCTGTTCTTATGATGGGAGGGTCATAATTTGGAAGGAAGGTCAACAGAATGAGTGGAGCCAAGCCCATCTTTTTGATGATCACAAAGTTTCTGTCAATTCCATTGCTTGGGCACCTCATGAACTGGGTCTTTGTTTGGCATGTGGATCCTCAGATGGGAATATCTCGGTTTACACTGCAAGAACAGATGGTGGTTGGGACACATCGCGCATTGACCAGGCTCACCCAGTTGGTGTCACATCTGTTTCATGGTCCCCGTCGATAGCTCCTGGTGCTCTTTTCGCTTCTGGCCTGGTTGACCCTGTTCAGAAGCTTGCATCTGGTGGTTGTGATAACACAGNGCGCATTGACCAGGCTCACCCAGTTGGTGTCACATCTGTTTCATGGTCCCCGTCGATAGCTCCTGGTGCTCTTTTCACTTCTGGCCTGGTTGACCCTGTTCAGAAGCTTGCATCTGGTGGTTGTGATAACACAGTGAAAGTGTGGAAGCTTTATAATGGAGTTTGGAAGATGGATTGCTTCCCTGCTCTTCAAATGCATACTGATTGGGTAAGGGATGTTGCTTGGGCACCCAACTTAGGACTTCCTAAATCTACTATAGCAAGTGCTTCTCAAGACGGAAGAGTTATTATATGGAGTGTGGCCAAGGAAGGAGATCAATGGGATGGAAAGGTTTTGAAGGATTTTCAGGCCCCTGTTTGGAGGGTCTCATGGTCATTGACTGGAAACATACTGGCTGTTGCTGATGGGGAAAACAATGTTACATTGTGGAAAGAAGAAGTAGATGGAGAATGGCAACAGGTGACAACAGTTGACTCATGAAGTTTGTTATTCTTCTGATTTTTTCTCTTGTAATAGCAGATCATCCTGTGTGGGGGTTTATCATTGACATATATTAGCATCAAAATCTTTTCTGCCCCTTTTGACTCATCGAAATGGAGACTTGAACTTTTAATCTCTGATATTCATGATTTAGCTCTTTTGAACTGCTGGGTTTAGAATCAAGAAGTAATATGAATATTTAGCGGTACTGCATTTATCTGGTCATTGACATACAATGGGTAGTGATTAATTTTGGTCCATTGCACCATAGTTTCGTAGTATGGCTTCAATTTTTCCTGAAGCAAATCTTCTTGAGGTTTTCTGATTTTCTTTTCAGGCATAGCTGCTAACTTCTGGAGCAATGATTCTCGTGTCTTTTGCAGTTTGTGGCAAATTCTAGCATCTAGAATTAATTATTGGTCTTCTTTTATCTCATCTCTTTATTTTCCTCTTAGGTCGAGCTTTTTTAGTCCTCGACTCTGCATCTTGAGTGGTGATGATTCACAGTACAAGTGACTAGGTGCAGCCGAATGGGGTTGAACTGTGGAAGTCTGGAACTGTGATATAATGCTTCAGAAAACAGAGTTAACCAGTGCCTCTTCCATCGGAGATCACTCCCCACTCTGATCTTGAATCGACTCCAAACCGCATTCCCGGCACACTTGCTACTATTTGTGCTATAATCTCACCTTGTTGGGTCACCATTAATGCGGGGCTCGTCAGAACTAAGCATCGGCTTTTGCCTGCACTACAGAGTACAGAGCTTCACATATCTTCCCAAGTCTGAGGTTTTGTTAGCCAGGGATCGGGCTTGCTCACACTGTGGAAGGGTACGCAAACTCGGCCCAATTCTCAGGATGTGTTCCCCTGGGGACCGAGCATTTTGCCAGCTTGCAAAAACAGAATCAAATGCAGAATTCCAAACAATTATGTGGCCCATTAACTCTATTTTCATTCCATTAAAGCATTTTTAATCATGATTTAAATTTTTACTCAAATTTAAATTAACATTTCAGTAAAAAGTTTGATTTGATACAAAGAGTTTTAATAGACAAGTTCAAATTTACATGATGGCAAACTCACATTTAAAAGAGAGCAAAGATGATCATTGGATCTTTAAAAGATAGTAAAGTTTCATTATTAAAAATTTGGGTAAGAATTTAAATCTCTCTTGATTTGAATAAAAAAAATGAGTCTCCCTTGATTTGGTATAAACTTGAGTCAAATGGTAGAACAAGTTTTTTGGGTTTTTTTACATCAAATTTAAATTTGAATCTAAATTTAAGTTAGGATTGAAAATGCTCTTAGGAACGAGCATAAAAGTCCTTATTATGTAAGTATATTCTTAAATTTCATTGATATCATTATTTCAAACATTTAGATTTCAAATAATTTTTTTAATCAATTGTCCGGTGTGAGTGGTTTGTGGGTCCCATTGATAAAAAAAAATTGTTTTAATCTTTTGGTGTTCAATTTCTTTAAAATTCTTTAGCATCTGCGTGCATTCTGGGATTGAAATTTTTGGGCATCAGTCTTGTGCTTGACAAGGCCCAAAGATTGCCTAAACCCACTCCAACATCGAAAACCCAGTTTAAAAGAAGCTCGCAAACGGTTGAAAGGAATCAATGATTAAATGAAATTTTTTTCTTCAAGCTGTTTCATAATTTTTTGAATTATTTTGAGATATTTTTATTAATGTTTCGAAATATTTATGATTTTTTAAGAAGTTTTATTATATTTTAATCAATATTTTAAAATATTTTGGTAATTAATTTTTAAAATTTTTATTTGTTTTTATTTTATTTTTGAAATGCTTTAAAAAATTTAAATTTTTTTTTATTTTTTAAGTGACTAAAATAATACATTAAAACAAAATTTTATAATTACAAAACCCTCACTCTCTATCTTTCCAAAAAATATTAAGTATAACTGTACATTACATTAACAGTGTCACGTTCATTGTAAGATAAATAAGTCAACAAATGAGTTCTGCTGAAACTCATAACTACTCAATCATATCATCCATAACAACTTTGATAATAAGAAGTGAGTCATATATTTTTTTTTATTATTTTCTTATTTAATTGTTACACCCAATATTTACTCTTATCTCTGTCTCTGTGTCTCTCTGTGGAAACGAGTTTGCCCTTACTCGAAGCCAGGTATCAGGGGGGAAGAATCACGTGCAATGTTTCTCAATGATGAGTCCCAGCACGTGCAGCCATGTTGGTCGAGGAAATGGAAATTGGGTTGACGCACGTGCGGGAAGCATCAAAGAAAGAGGGTGAGATTCGGATTCGGACTCGGACTTGGAGCGGAAACGGAATTTGAATTTCCAGCACTACTTTATAAGAAAATTTGGAGGTCGATTCCCCTATAAGAACTTGTTTGGACTTAAGTCCGTCAAAAAAATTTATTTGTTATTAAATTCGTTTTTGTCAATTTTACCATACTATCCATTTATTTTAGAAGTGAAATAAAACTAAAAATTAAAAACTCCTAAATCTTAGGAGTTTGATTAACATTAAAATCTTTTTTCTTTCATATTTATTTATATTCATATATAAGTTAAGAGCTTGACTTACATTAATTTTTTTTTTTTCTCTTATCTATTTATATATAGATTATATATATGTACATATATATAGTAACATTAAAAATAAAAAATAGTAACATTCAAATATAAAAAAAAAAGTTATCATTTAGACACAAAAAATAATACATTTAAACACAAAAAAATAGTAACATTTAAACATAAAAAAAAATTAAAACATTCAATATTAATATTTTTAAAAAATAACACAGTAACATGTTTAACAAAAATATTAATATGTTCAACAAAAATAGTAACATATTTAACAAAAACTGTAATATACTTAACAATAATTATTTCTCTCAAATTTAGACACAAAAATAGTACCATTCAGATACAAAAAATAGTAATATTCGAAAAAAAATAGTAACATTGAATATTAATATTTAAAAAAATAATAGTAGTAACATGGTCAACAAAAATAGTAATATGCTCAAAAATAATGTACATGAACAGTAACATACTCAATAAAAGTAATAACATGAACAATAACATAATAAAAAAAATAGTAACATGAATTTGAATTTTACTATTCAATTTCATAGTAACTATTTTTTTGTATTTGAATGTTATTATTTTTTTTAATATTAATATATATATATATATAAAAGAGAAAAGATTAATTTTCTTTCAAGAAAATGTATTTTTAAGATAAAAAAAAAAAGTGGACTTAAATCTTTACATATAATTTTAAACATGAACTTAACCCCTTATAAATATTTTTGCATGACTTATCTCTAAACAAATACATTTAGGGAGGTTGACTTCCAATTTTAAGTAGTTTATACTTATAGCCCATACGTGGAATTTGACCACCGACTGGGTCTGGGTGTGGTCTGGACTTGCCTTTTGGAAATCAACCAATAGCCAGCAATACCTATACGGATATGAATCAATCAAACTCTCTCACACGATAGCAAACAGCACCCCCTCACCTTCGTCACGTGCTAAGTTGGACCCCATAAACCACTTGACAACAAAAAAAAAAAAAAAAAAATCCACATACGATTATTTGTAAATTTATTAAAAAAAAGAAGAGGCAAACCTCTCTTTTTACTTCGTATCAAAACAACAGCTTTTTTTTTTTGTTTGTTACTCAAAGTTATGATGTTTAATTACCAAAAAATAATTTTATTACTATCCTTGATGATACCAAAAAAATATACAGTTTGTATAAGTCAAATCAAGACAGGATAACTATATAAGTTGAATAGGTCAAGAAAATAAGTTAGTATATAATGAGGAGGTCAACTCAACTCAGCCTAGGCAGGTAGGTCAAGTTAGCCAACTTCACCAAGGCGGGTCAATTAGCCAGCTCGATCAAGTTAGGTCAGCTAGGCAAGGTCAGGTTAAGTCGACCCCCCTCAATGGTTATCTTGGACAATAATAAGATTTCAGAAGACAACAAATAACATGAAAACTACTAGAAAGGATAGAAAAAAACTTTTGTCATTAACGATTCTTAATAACGTTCATTTGTTGTATAATCAATATGGAAGGGAGGAGAATTGGTTAGTTAGGGAAAGGGCTCAGTGCAAGTCTCCCCTCTCTCCACAGAGCCACACTTCAAGATCGTATCAGAGAACTTGAGACCCAATTGAGGAGTCAAGGCGATGCAAAACAAGTGAAGAAAGTTAACTTTCTGTTAAGTGAACCCGAATAAGAGTGGACGCACAATAAATTAGAGCAAGTTTAGCTAGCCCAATAGCACATACACCTACTAGGATGAAGCATAGCGGAAATTGAACCCACATATTGTTGAGCCCTACCTTAGATCGTAAGTCACTGATTTTTGAAGACTACGACACACTTAATAATCTCTAACAAATTCGTTATAAAAAATAATAATAATTGTGTAAAAAAAAAAATCCAAGAGACAACATCAAATATGGGGAAAAAAATTCTATTGTATTCTTCTTCTTCTTCTTCCTCAAACAATAAACCACAAAAGAACAAGAGTCTCCATTATGATAGATTGATCTAACTATTCAACTAGATAAACCATTTATTTTCTTATACATTCTCACTTATTTTTTACACACACTACGCTTAGAGCTTCATATTTGGCGGTTTTTTTACACTATCAACACTAAAAGAAAGTCGTTTAGTGAATATTATTATTATATTAAGGTCAATAAAGTAAAACTAAAAAACTATTGGTTAAAAAATATATGGGCATTGTAAGTAACTGTTAAGAAACTCTATCACATTTGTTTGTTAACAGCGATTGACCTGGGGAAACGTACAAATGTCTCGGGCACTGTAAAACTTCAGATTAAACTAAACGATCGTGATATAATGAAAATTGCATTCAATTTCATGTATTACTAGTTATATCTTGTTTGTAATTAAAATTGAACTATGGTCATTCCCATAGTTAAAAAGTGTCGGTATAAAAAATATTTAGATAAATATATTTTTTCCTTAATGTTTTAGTACCTAAATTAAAACCAAGAACAATCAAGTTCAATGGTTTAGTTAGAAGATAGTCTAAGTCTCCTATAAGGATCGTCCTAGTACTGATAATTCAAAAAATTATTGATTGAATAACTAGAATCAAGTTGTAATTCTAATTGTCTTTTCTAAACGTATGCAAACACGATCTTCTAAACTCTTTTGGAGGACTACCCAAACAGGTTTGCAATAGTCGAATAGTCAATTAATTATTCTTCTAAATCAAAAATAAAATTACTATTAATAGACACCCAATGAAATTCCACACAAAATCAATGGGCAGAAAACATTTGTTAGTAAGATATCAAGCTCTAAATCCGTGACACTCTCACTTAATTTTAGTTGGCCATAAATAAAAAGGTTGAAAGTGAAAAAAAAATCTGCCAACATAACGTGTGGATCTGATCATGACCGTCATTTGAGCTGTAATCATCGTGTCTAAACATGGGTTAAAGAATATAACAACATGGTCTAATACAAGGTAGAAAGTACTACTAATAATGGAGTTAATAATTATTATAATCAGAGGGGGGAAATTAAATAAAAATTAAATAATTGGGCAAAACGCAATTCCCGAGAAAAAAATAGAGAGAGAGAGAGAATCCGGCTGTAAACTTGGACACCATTGAGGACTAACGGTGACAAAGCCTCGTATTAGATCGGGGTTGAATCTGAACTATTATTACTTTGTCCCTCGTAAGTTTCAGTTTTTTACTTCTTGAATTGCTTTTTCTTTTTTGTCTGCATTGTTAATTGTGGGGTCTTTTCAAATTTACTTTTTACACCCTTCGTATTTCTATATTATGAGTTATTGATTTTAAATTACATACTAATACTCAGGACTCTCAATCGTATCGAATGAAGTGAGTTTGTATCGCATCTTAACAGGTTCGTATCAAAAAATTCTTTACTCATATCTGATTCGTTTATTAATTCGTGTTTAATAAGTTGTTTTATATTAAGTTTGTTTGATGTATCAATCGTGTATAATATATAAACGAACAGTATCATGTATTTTTGTCTATTAATTTCACATATGCTTGATTTGTTTATTAATCGTGTCCTGTCAAATCTACTAATTTACGAAAATAGATAATTTAAAAAAGACTCAAATTTTCTAATTTAGTATCGTTTTATATTTTAGCACCATTAATTCAAACATGAAATTTGAGTAAGCAATTGATGTGAGAAGATTTACAAATTGTTGATTATGGAATGTAATCAAGCGACAAACATCGGAAATGAGAATCTATATCTCGCTTTATGTATTTTCTCTCAATAATAGAACATCTTCTTCAATATAGTTGAGAGATCAATTTATATATAATGAATGTATTTACGTTAACAAAATGAAGAAGATCTACTTATCAAGCTACTCAAATTTAGAGACAATGCTCATTCTTTGGTTAGTTTTTTGGAGCTTAGACATTTTTTTCTATTTTTTGTTGTAAGAATTTTTTTTTAATAGGAAAAAAAAAAAGAAAAAAAAAATGAAGTGCTTTAATGTAATTAAACAAGTCGAGACAACTTTACACTAGTAGTAAGTAACTTGCTATTATTTTAAACATTTCACTCATTAAGTAAAGATGCTTCAAATTTTCAAAAAATGCCAACTCTACCCCCTTGCTCACTCGTCAAAACCCACACCCACTTTCACCTCTCTCAGCCAGTCATCTTCAAAACGCAATCCAAGCTCTCTCTCTCTCTCACAATTCGTAAACAACTGGTAACCTGCCGTAAAAACATACACAAACACAGAGCAATGGAAGCTCCGGAGTTCTTCATCGGCGGTTATTTTGGCCACGCCGTAGGAGACAACCAATTATTCGACCAGAAAACGAACGATAATAACAACCAATTCGCTGTTGATGACTTGCTTGATTTCTCCAAAGAAGAAGTCATGACCGACGGTTTTTTCGATAACGTTACTGGAAATTCAGCTCATTCTTCGACTGTATCCATCCTTGACAGCTGTAATTCCTCCGTTTCCGGTGGAGAACCTCCGTTCTCCGGCAATATCAGCTGCCGTAGCTTCAATGACCCTCAATTCTCCGGCTCCGAACTCTGTGTTCCGGTAAATTTCTAAATCCTCTCTCTCTAGGAAAACAGCATATATAATTTTAACGTGCTCACAGAAGAGCAATGAAATTGAAGAGACATTGAAATGTAGCTTGTTTTGGTGTACAGTACGACGACTTGGCTGATCTGGAATGGCTCTCGAACTTCGTGGAGGACTCATTCTCAAGCGACGACCTCCAAAACCTCCAACTTACCACCGTCACAACCACAGCCCCCACCGACACCGCCTCCATTTCCTCCACCACCACCACCACACTGGAGCTTGCAACCATGCCAAATATCAACTCCTCTCCGATATTTCCCTCGGCCGTCGTCGTTCCAGGCAAAGCCCGTAGCAAACGGTCACGCGCCGCCCCAGGCAACTGGTCCTCCCGCCTCCTCGTCCTCTCCCCGGCCAAATCATCATCAGAAAACAACACTCCACCCATCAAAACGGCGTCGTCGAAGAAGAGGGAAAGTGCGGAAACCCCTGGCCGGAAGTGTTTGCACTGTGCTTCCGATAAGACACCGCAGTGGAGGACGGGGCCGTTAGGCCCAAAGACTTTATGCAATGCGTGTGGGGTAAGATACAAGTCTGGTAGGTTGGTTCCAGAGTACCGGCCGGCGGCGAGTCCGACATTTATGTCGGCGAAGCATTCGAATTCGCACCGGAAGGTACTGGAACTCCGGCGGCAAAATGAGCTCCAGACACACCACCAGCAACAGTTACTTACGCAAACCTCGATCTTCGGCGTACCCGTATCGAACGGTAATGATTACGTGATTCATCATCAGAGTGGTCAAGAGTTCAGGCACATGATCTAATGCGTACCGGTCCAGGAAAATTAAGCTGCACCTTTAATTTTAACCATCAATTTCTTACTTTTTCCTAATTTCTGATGCTCTAGGTGTTCAAAATTTTTTTTTGGGGAAAATCTAAAAATAGAAGAAAAATGGAGGAAGAAGATGGTCAATTCAGTGTAGTGCTAAAATTACGTTTTTCCCCTATTCTTTTTTAAGTATGAATTTCTATTAAATTTCGGTTGCTTTTTAATTGAGAAAAGTGAGGGAAGTTTGAATTTGTAATTTGCTTGGTGACAAAGTAAAGAGGATGACATATCAGCTCTCAGCTGTAAAGGGGTCTGCAATCATGCAAAGGGTGCATAGCTTTTGTCAACAACCTGGGGCCACACAATAGACTGGTTACTGCTACCCACATCTGCACACCTTGGAATTTTTGAGGTACCCATATCTACCGTAAGAAAACACTATGGTATTCTCGTCGGTATCGTGATGAAAATTATAATTTATTAAGAGTATGATCAAACTTGAAACATGAAAGTTATAATTCTTAAATGTTAAATTATGCATTTAAAAGAAGTTACAATTGGTCATAAGAATTCTATGATTAATCTTCAGTACAGTATTAAATTTTTTTTTTTTTTTTTGGTATCATAGACTTTTCCGAATGCTCATTCAAAAGTATTTTTTAAGGACCATAATAAAGTTGCTACAAAATAAAGAGTGAGCTTATAATTTGATATGGTGATTTTATTTTTTGGAGTTGACTTTAATTATTTTTATTACAACTTACTTTTATTAGTTATAACTTGATTAAAAATATTATAATTTTTGTTACGAGATTTTCAATATCATACTCTACCTTGCTCATTTGCTTAATTAGCAAAATTTGGAAGAAGAATGTTACATATACTTAAAAATTAGATTTAATAATTATAACTATCGATTTTATTATGGATTTTATTATTTATTAATATCTATTATCTATTCGATGATTATGATTATTAAATTTATTTTTAAAATTTACTTTTAAGTCCATGTAAGCACCGGTTGGAGTGGCCCATTAGAGGACCCCTAAGTGAAAGTTTTTTTTAGGGTTAATTACAAAATATTCCCTTGAACTTTGAATTTTATTTCAATCAGGTCCCTCTGATTTAAAATTAAACAATTTATTCCCTTCAAGTTTCAAAATTAACAAATTGATCAATGAATTAGACAAAAATTTTAAAATTACTTTTTTACCCTTAACCTTTATTGATCTCCATTTTTTTTTTCCCTTTCTGTTTGCTCAATTGAGCCAAAAGCTCCAACGCCACCACCCAACCACCACCTAGCCACAATCACCCAACCACCAATCACCGCAGCCACCACCCAGCCACAAACCACTAAAAAATTCCACCGAAAATGCACCACCACTGTAAATACTCCTCATGGTAGTTGTTGGTCTTTGATGGTAAGGATTGTTGCTGGTAAGGGACTGTGGGAGATTCAACAGATCTGTTGGCGTGGGTGGAGATGGAATTTTCTTTTTTTTTTGGGACCGATGGGTTATTTGTTTAGGGAGAAGGGGGTATATTTATTTTTTAATATCGATCTTTTTAATTTCTCTGTCACTTTTGATGGTAGGAATTAACAATGATGGGTTAATTGAGGCAATGTTTAAAGTATAGCAGGCAAATTGTTTAATTTTAAACTAGAGGGACTTGATGAAATAAGACCCAAAGTTCAAAGAGACATTTTATAATTAACCCTTTTTTTTATTCAATGGTTAGTGGTTCCAAGTTAATTTATGTATAACTCAACTAATTTTTTCTCCGAATCGATAAAAAGCAAGTCGTGCACGCCGAGATAAATATCTCGTGACTTAATCCTAAAGGGTTGTCAAAATTTGAAATCAAAATATCTGAAGTTGCAACTCCTTTATGTTACCACTTGAGTTAATACTTGAGATTAATGTAGTTTTTTCTCCTATGATAAAGAAAAAGTTACCCCAAGTTTGTATGTCTGAGAAAAATTACACTATCAAATTCTTATCCAAATTTGCAATCTAAAGAAGCCAAAATTATAACTCAATGAAGTTTGAAAAATAGAGATCGATCTAAACAAAAGTTTTTTTGAATTGAACTTAGATTAACCCCATTATGTTTTTATTTGACCCGAGTCTTAACTTGATCTGATTGATTGAATTACAAATTTCGATATGATACCGGAAAAAAAAAACCTTTCTATTCTAAATCATATGGTTGTCTCAAAATTTTCTCATCCATGCCCTAGCCTTGAATTTTCCTTCTACCACAAGAGAAAAGCAAGGTACTTGACATTGGCATGTGGTGCATCAAGTGAAAATGCACCTTTCATGAATAACCATCTTGATCCTAGCAAAGGATTAATCTTAAAAATCCATAAACCCCTTGAACAGTCCCACCAAAAATTAAGAAGAAAAATGTTTATATTGGCATGGATTTCAACAAAAGGTTGCCCTACTTGAGAAAAGAATTGCTGGGTGGACACAAAAAAGGTGAAAGAAAAAACCAATGCTAGAGATCCCAAATTATATCCTAAATCAGTAAAGATCTTTGAATCAGTGGATTCCGTTATTTTTTTTTAATAAGACCCACTCATCCAAAGTTTCTACCCATTTGGGATTACATTTAGAATCCCAAATTTGAGATGCAAATGCATTGATTTGAGTATAGAATCAATGTGGGAAGAGAATGAGAAAGAGTGAGGGACTTGACCACAATACTAACAACAAAAATTCGGAGTTGTATCTCTAAAATTTATTACTTGAATAGATGTATTTATAATTTTTGTAAGTCATTTATAACTAAAAAATTTATCATATTTGTGAGTGATTTATTATTTTTTGTAGGTATTATTATAATTGTTATGGTACTATTTTTACCATTTTTCTTCGGTACAATAAAATTACCACTTTGGGGATAATTTATGACATTTGTAAGTGTTTTTTACCAATATTGTGGTAACTATTTTTATCGTTTTTTTAGTATTATAAAATTGATAAAAACACACACAACAATGATAAAAATATCCACAAATATAATAAATATAGGTATGATACCGAAATTTATTTATTTTTTCGTTAGCATAGGCAACTCTAAGAGTGAGAAACAGTAGAAATCATAGGACCTCAAAATAATGTTAAACACTCAAAATAATCTCACAAACAAAGATTTAATCAAAGAAAAAATTATGGCAGAAGACGAAGTAAAAGAACGTCAAAACTTCATGTCAAAAAACAAATTCATTCTACAAAACCAAAAACTACTGATATTTTACTCACACATCATCATGTTCACGGCTAACAACCAAAAAAATTAAAATACCAAAGTCAAGAAGAAATCCTATACCAAATATAATTCAATAATAACTCCAATGGACAAGAATTCCATGTGGACTAGGAACTCCTAAACCAACTAAAAATCATAATTATCTCAATAAGAGTTTAAGTTAAACTCTAACGGTCTCTTTTGAACCAAATTCTTCAGCCTCGATCATCTTCATCATTCGTTTCAGCTTTATGTATGCATTTGATTTTAGTGGCTTAGTAAAATATTTGCAATTTGATCTTCAGATCGATAATACAAAATATCAATCTCGCCATCAATAACCAAGTTATGAATATAATGGTACTTGACATGAATATGTTTTGTTCCTTCCATGAAAATTGGATTTTTTGACAATGCAATAGCTGACTTATTATCACAGAAAATCTTTGAAGGAATTTTATGTGCATGCTAAAAAAATTCAAGCATAAGACGCAACTGCACTGCCAGTGTAGCACTACTGGTGACTGCACTATACTCTACTAGTCTGGTAGACAAGGCAACAACTTCTTGTTTCTTTGGAGATTAGGAAAAAAATTCTCGAACCAATTTGAAAATAATATCCGTAAGTACTTTTAACTTTTTTCACATCACTTCCCCAATCACTGTCTGTATACCCTACAAGTTCACAAGAACCAGTAGAAGAATAAATAATACCATCACTCTGGGTACCTTTAGCATACCTCAAAATCTTTTTTGCCGCTTGCAAGTGGGATTGACTTGGAGATTCCATATATTTACTGATAAGGCCAACTCCAAAAATAATATCAGGTTTAGTAGAAGTTAAATAACGTAACTTCCCACCAACCATTTGAAATATGTGTGATTCACCAACTCACTATTTCCATCTTTCCCCAATTTTAATCTTTTTTCAACTATAGTCAAAATAGGATTGTAAGAATCCATTCTGAACTGTTTAAAGATATCCGTAGCATACTTATGTTGAGAAATAAAAATCCCATTGTTTGTTTGATTTACTTCAATCCCAAGAAAATAAGACATCAAACTCATATTAGTCATCTCAAACTGAGAAATCATTATCTCCCTAAATTTCTCAATTAATTTTAGGTTATTCCCTCTAAAAATAAAATCATACACTTACAAACACACAATAATAATATCTCCATGAAAATTAGTTTTGACATACAAAGTGTGTTCATAGGGGCATCTCTAAGAACTATTCTCTACAAAATAAAAATCAATCTGATGTACCACGTTCTAAGGGCTTGTTTAAGCCCATACAAAACCCTTTTCAAATTATAGACTTTGTTTTTCTCCTCTTTATTCACATAATCAGTAGCGGCTCAACATTAACTTTCTCCCCAAGGACACCATTCAAGAAAGTAGATTTTCACATTCATTTGAAATATCTTCTTAGAGTTATTAGCATCAAGAGAAAAAATCATACAAACAGTATCAAGACTAGCAACAGGAAAAAAAATCTCTAGATAATCAACACTTGGTTTTTGTTTGTAACATTTGGCTACTAACCTCGCTTTGAAGCAATTCACCTCTCCATTTGGCTTGTATTTAGTCTTGTACACCCATTTAACTCCAATGATCTTCTTTCCACTGAGAAGAGAAATAAGTATCCAAATATTATTTTTTTCAATGACATGAATTTCTTCCTCCATTGCTTTCACCCAATGTTTCTCTCTGCAGGCATCACTAAAAAAAAAATAGGATCACAATCTGTATATAAAGCAAATTTTACCAAGTCCTCATCTGAAGGATCACTATCAGTGTCAATCACATAATCCTCCAATTTAGCTGGCATGCGCCTTTAACGTTGTGAACGCCTGGATGACTTTGGCAGTGGGAATTAAATAACTTGGGACTGTTCAACTGACTGATCACCAACTGAATCATCAAAATCAAAAGGAATAAATGTAGTTGACTTGTCCTCCTTTTGGGACCAATCCAAAACGCTCATCAAAAGTGACATCCCTATTAATAATCA